AAAACTTCAGTTGTGGCACGTGGGCCCTGACGCCAACGAGCCTTGAGGGCCTTGACAGCTTCCATCGCCGGCAGCTGCGCCGCCTTCTAGGTATCTTTCACCCGAACACGCTCGGCGACGTCGCGCTCTACAAACGCTGCAAGAGTGTCGCGCTGAGCGCGATCGTTGCCCGCCGGCACTGGCGCCTGCTGGGCCACGTGCTGCGCCTGAAGGAAGACGTCCCTGTCAGCATTGCCGCCGCCCGCTTCTTTGCCGCTCCCGAGGCGCCCCGTTTTTTAGGTCGCACCAAGATCACGTTGCCCATCTTCCGCGACCTCTAGTCGTTGACGCCGCCTCAATCGCTGGCGTCTCTCGAGGACCTCAACCAACTGCGTAGCTCGCCGCCGACGGCAAAGCCTGGAAGGCTTTTACACAGCGTGTCGTCATGGGCCTCACCCGCGGCCGCAAGCGCCCCCGGGCGACGACAGAAGAGCAAGACGAGCCCCCCGCCGCCGCCTGCGCAGCCACGGCCCGGTGAACGAATAATGAAGAAGAAGATTGCTAGTCTCTACGCACTGGTCTCTACGTATGCGAACTCTTTGTATCAACGAAGATAGCGCGAAACACGTTCATATATATATTCAAAAGTTCCTACCAGCTCACCCCGCACGGGACCTGTTTCATGTTGGTTGGCTTGGTTGGAAAGTGCTCAAGATTAGGTGCGTCTTTGCCCGATTGGGCACTTCCTGTCAGCAATATTTTTGGATTGGGCACATTCTGCAAAATTGGGCACAAAATGTAAACGGCCCCCGAAATTGGGCACTTTTTGTTAAAAGCCCACGCGAAGTAGGTGTTGGCAGCGAGAGGCAGTTGGCGAGATGCGCTTGGTACAACTGCAGTGTTGCTGCAGCATTGCACACTACAATGCACCGTAGTACATGTACGTTGCGCAAGTGCTTCGCGTGCACATCACGCACAACACGCACAACACGCGTAGTACCGTCCGTAGGTATGGACCAGGTACTGTACAGGTCATCTTGATACGCCTGATACTCCTACAGGCAGCTGCATAGGGAAAAGTGTTGAACGACGCGTTGTGCGGGTTCGTAAGGGTATGCTTCAAGGCGCGTTGTCGGCAAGGCTTTGGTCCCGCCTCGTGTGACCAAGTACGCTAATGCCGCGGCATTGGCGCGCGAGCAAATACCTCGCTCCCGTGCAAGATTCCGATTGCAGTAGCTTTTTGCCACGTTCAATCCTCCCACCCATGCTACTCGAAGGTTGACACTGCCCCGTTTGCGAGGCATGATCGCGGGCGTACCGTTGGCTTCGTCATTTGGCCTCTCGAGGCGCGATGATATAGCTGAAGGGGATATGATCGAAACCTGGTGCGACCGAGTTGCCAACGATCGACGCAAGCTGAGCCAATCGGTGGGCACGCCGCCGGGGAAACTCTGCATTCTGGTCATCGATGCGGTGCGCGACAAGGGAATACCGCGACACAACGGAGGCAGCTGAAAGCACCTCGTTGTCCGAAATGGAATTCGCTTTAAGAGTGCGCGTATAATCAGAACCATTTAAAGTTGGCAGTTTTTTTATACTACGGTAGTACCCATCTGTGCGAATTATAAAGTGCGACTGCGCACCGAGCAGTGGTAACGATCCTCACTTGCCAATTTCCCTGGAGCCGCCCACGCCTAAGCTTACAGGACCATGGCCGACCTTCAGCCGATCCTCAACATCCCGACGCACCAGCTGCGCAAGTTTTTCAGATTCCCGCTCAGGGAGGCTGCTGCGCGCTTGCACTCGACCGAAGGCGCCGTGATCCACCTTTGCCGCCGGCGCGGCTTCACCAAGTGGCCATACCGCCAGCTCACCTACTTGAAACGCCAGATGCTTTCCCTCAGAAACGCCATTGCCCAGGTGGACGGGCCGACGGTCATGGCCGCGGACCGCCTCGCGCAGCTGAAGGGCCAGTACAAGGAGATCAAGTACTGGACCCAGGGATTGTGAGTAGGGGTCATTTTCGTCTTTATATCTTGGTGAATACTTCTTGTCGTAATCTGAAGTGTTTTCATCTGCTTGACCAATGCCCTTTCTGTACACCGGTGTACGTAGAGAGTTTTTGCACATTGCTGGTATCAGAATGAAAATTGTACACCGGTGTATGGCGATTTTGTGGACGAAATACTTCAATTTTGGATTTTCTACAATGTACATGGTCGTAGGAAGAGCTTTGACAAACCACAACTTGTGCGGATAGCACGCAAGCACAAGGAATTAAATTGCATCATAACTTAGACACTTTCGACGTCTCGAGTCTATAGCAGTGCTACCAAAGTGCAGAACGCACCCACTGGAGCACGGAGGACACCGCACCGGTATTAATAGAAGCGCGCGGGCGCATCCAAGCATGAGTCGCGATGTCGTCGAGGCTGATGCGGTCGCCTGGAAGAAGCGTGAAAATGCGGTCGAGCAAGTCCTTGGCATCCTTTGAGAGGATCGGCTCCATGTCGCTTGAATAGTTGAGCGTCTTGATGCAGACGACGGGATCGCGGAAGGGGCACCGCCGGGTTGGCTTTCTGCCTTGATCTGGGCGCAGTCAAAATCGAGTTGTTCGACGTTGAGCGGCTTCTGCGAGAACGGATGCCGAAACGTGAGCATCTCGTAAATGACGATGCCAAGGGCCCAGACATCAACCTAGATTCACGATAAGGCCAACGATGAGAATAAACACCGCCTACCATCTTGTCGGAAACAATGGGCTCCTCGGCCCAGAGCTCTGGCGCACAGTTGAATAGAGTACCGCGGGTGCCGACGATGAAGCCTTCTGGCGCTGGGTGCGCGTAGGACAAGCCAAAGTCGGCAATGCGCATCTGACCCTAGTACCGCAGACAATCTCAGCGCCAAAGAGGAACTAGTGGAGAAAGACGTACGTCGTGGCCAATGAGGACGTTCTCCATCTTGATGTCCGCGTGGCACACGTTGCTGTCGTGCACGTACTCCAAGCCGTGGACGATCTGGAGCGCGTACTGCGCGGCCGTGGCCTCGTCGAGAGGGCCGACGCGGAGGACGAGTGAATGCAAGCTCTCCTTGGCGTGCTCAAGAACGAATGCCGGTGGAAACGATGGCAGCACGCGGTGCAGACGCAGCACGTTCGTGTGCTTGAGGCTGCCGTGTAGCTGGCCTTCTTCACGCGCGTACTTCACGATTTTCTCGGGCGTCAGGGTCGTAGTCCCCCTCGAGATCCATTTTCTATAGACACATGAATAGATAGCGCGCTATGACGTCGCGCATATCGTACCTTGATTGCCAAAAGATTGCCGTCGACGGTGTACGTGCCGCGATACACCTTGGACGTCGCACCTTCTCCGATCTGCTGAGCGAAATCGCACTCCACGCCGACGGCAGGCAGCATTGCGTCCAAATCGACCGCCTACGCGCAGAATGCATGCCGAATTGGGCCTAGCCATGGTCGGCCTGTACCAGCGGAAGGTGGCGCTGAAGCCAAAGGAGAATCATGCGCTTCAGCTTCAAGGGAGCCGACGTGTCGTAAGGTGTGCCGTTCGCTGCAAGCTGGCCTTTGACAGCGCTCGCCACTGAAAGAAGCTCGTCGCGATTCAATCCAGTCAAGTCGGCTAGGGTGCGCGCTTCCACGGCTTCGATGGGCAAGGGCGACTGCAAGGTCCCGACGGAAAAGTCCAGCGTCGGCAGAGTCTCGGCGTCCTAGAGAACGAGTATAACGAGAGTTTGCTCACATTTGACGAGCAACCGTCGCCTCCGCTGCCGTGTCTCGTGCCTTGCGCTTCCGGCTCTTCGTAGACGTGGCCGCCTTGGGTTGCCCCGTCGCGTCCGCGCTTGCCGCCGTGGCTTGTCCCACTGCGGGTTGCCCTGTCGGGTCCGCGCTTGCCTGCGTCTAAGTCATGAGCTGTGAGGCACTTCGAAGGCAACCGTCATGCTACCGCGAGCTTTGCACGCGTTCGCGTCATGGGACCGATCAGCTCGGACGTCGTCACCTTCTTCGCAGGACGCTTGCCATTTGCAGCAGACTTGGGCAACTTGGTGACGTTTGATGTCGTCTTGGCCTTTGAAGGGACCTTGCGTGGCGATGTCGTCGACGGTGGCGCCGATCTCTTGCGCTGCTTCGCCATGACCGGAGGAGATTTGAGACTGATAAAGTACAGTAGGTCGGCCTTTTTAGTCGGTAAACTACTAGTAGTAGGTTACTTACTAACTAACTACTATCCTGCTAAGCTAAGTGACGTCCAACTATCCTTCCGGTTCGTACCGGTACTAATACACTGAAGATCGGCGGTTTGCCAATCGCGATGGAAAGGGTCCGGTTCCGAGCCGAACCGGACCGAACCGGACCGTGGCGGAGGCCTATAAGTCAGACAAACTTTTGCATCAGGACGCTTGTGATTGGTCAATTGCACTTGGATTTTACGTCCGAGCTCATAATTCATCAGAATGGAGACGCCTGATGAATTATGAGCTCGGACGTAAAATCCAAGACAATTGACCAATCACAAGCGTCCAGATGCAAAAGTCTTGTCCGACTGGCTGAAAATCGGACCCTTTCCAGATTCGACCATCGCGATTGGACACACCGCCGATCTTGTGCGTGTCCCATAAACGCAATGCATATCAATCCATGCATGGGTCGAGCGTATGCATGCACTTGTTCCGCGTTGTCTTTGTTATCGCAAAGACTTCGCATGTATAACGACTACTAGTAGCAAACTCCCTTGTCTTCACTCGCTCGTCTTGCTTTTCAGCTGTCGTCGCGGGGTTCTTGCGGCCACGAAGCTACATAGCTTGTCGAAATCGTCGAGAGCCGTGGCATCGAGCCGCACTCGGCCGCTGTCGACCATAACTCTCGGGCGCATTGAACGTCGGTGAGCCCATGTCGGGTGGACGTCGACGCGGCGCCATACGATCCGGTGGCGACACAAAGGTGGCAGACGCCACCTACTAGTACCGTCCACAGGTGAGCTGACCTGTTGCATGTTGAATGGACATGACAAGCGCTTAAGAAGAAGCAATGAATGATAGTACATCAGTATCGGCACAGATTTCATGTAGATTGGTATGGGTTTGGAAGGCTTGCATAGACTTCTTGTCGTAAACCGAAGTGATTTCATCTGCCTGACCAATGCCCTTTCTGTACACCGGTGCACATCGAGATTGTATCGGCCGTCGATGAGCTCAGAATTAATGTTGTACACCGGTGTACGACAATCTTGCTGACGTCAATATTGGATTTACTACATGGTCGTGGGGAGAGCGTTGGCAAACCACAACTTGTGCGAATAGTACGATAGCACAACGAATGAAACAACATCGTAATTTAGTCAATTTAGACGTCTCGAGTCTATAGTAAGAGACTTGTAAAAGGCACTTGCAGAGGCAGTCCTACTTGTACCAGCGTGCAGAACGCGCCAACTGGAGCACTCGAACCCATCGTCTGCATCATAAGCTATGCAAGCGACATGGAGCCGAGAGGATCGGCTCCATCGTTTCGGCATCCGTTCTCCCAGAAGCCGCTCAACGTGAGCATCTCGTAGATGACGATGCCAAGGGCCCAGACATCAACCTAGATTCACGATAAGGCCAACGATGAGAATAAACACCGCCTACCATCTTGTCGGAAACAATGGGCTCCTCGGCCCAGAGCTCTCGCGCACAGTTGAACGGAGTACCGCGGGTGCCGACGATGATGCCTTCTGGCGCTGGGTGCGCGTAGGACAAGCCAAAGTCGGCAATGCGCATCTGACCCTAGTACCGCAGACAATCTCATCGCCAAAGAGGAACTAGTGGAGAAAAGACGTACGTCGTGGCCAATATTAGAGCTCTTTCGAAAACTCAGTTGAGTTGCTCCAGATCGTCCACGGATTGCAGTACGTGCACAGCAGCAACGTTTGCCACGCAGACGTTGCTGCTGTGCACGTACTGCAATCCGTGGACGATCTGGAGCGCGTACTGCACGGCCGTGGCTTCGTTGAGCGGGCCGACGCGGAGGACGAGTGAATGCAAGCAGCCGGCGGAGAGTGTCCATTTTGGAGGCGCGACGTTGTGGGTCGGGGTGGGCGATCGAATCTCTTGACGACGTTGGAGACCTACAAAGCCATGGTTCATCTCGCTGTCGCTTATAGAGTCATCGACCTTGCTTCTGCCTTGTGCTGGCGTTCGTTCATCGGCTCTGCGCTCGATCCGCTCCAGTGCACTGCATCATCGTGGCCTCGCGATGGTTCAGAATGGCGTCGACGTTCGCTTTCCATACGACCTTGAGTGCTGTCGCTATGTTTGGCGTCCGCTGCTTTGGCATCGCCTCGGGTGCTGAATGCCACGCCTTCTTCAAGAAAGAACACGCCAACCCGAACCCGCCTTTTCTTTTTCTGCATTCTGATTGGCTACAGGTACATGGTATCTCGCTCCTCCGTCTGCCACGATGTGCGGCTGCAAAATGAGAATCGGCCACTCGAGCCGCCGGCACCACGACGGTGGGAGCAATGGCACTTAGGCAATCGCTGGTAGAATCAGTAGCGTCCACCAGTCGCGCCACACGACGACTAGAGCATCGCCATCACGGGCAGCGCCATGGCGTTTCGCGAGGTTGTACAACAATAGCAGTCATCGACGTCAACTCGGCGACTGGCTCTGCCACGTAGATGCGTGTTTTACCCATCGCAGATTCGATCCCGCGATCGTTTCGTTTAGAGCTAGGGGGTTGGTTGCTGGGATGTTGGAGCTGCCTATTTACCCGCGCATCGCCAAAGCTATCGGTATTCTACAGGGACTTCCCATCCACAAATGAAGCGCAGAGTTTTCAAAAGGAATCTCCAAGCACCCAGTCCGACCCATTTGCTCGGATCACTTCTGCATTGTCGTCTCTCGTAGCCGTGGATTTTTCTCGTTTAGCTAATAAAGCTACAAGACTCGACACATGCTGTGTATTGTTTATAGTTATGTGAAAAGCGGACGTGGACGCAGCCAGTGTCGAACGGGATGGGAACAAACGACTTACAACGTCATGCCGAGGATCGAGGCGGCGTCGGCCTTCTCGCTCACGAGTTCGTCCGTCGTCGTCTTGATGAGCTTCTCGATGGCGGGCGAGATGGTCATCGTCTCGTCAATCGTCACCTGGCCGTCGCCGTGGCAGCGCATCGGGAACGAAAAGATGAGGTTCTCCGGCACGCCGTGCTTGTTGCCGTTCGAGAGGATGCCCATCGAGACAACCTCGGTCGCGCCGTAGAGCCACGCCTGCATGTGGCCCTTGATGGCCGAGGCCACCGAGAGCGCCGACGAGAGCTTGCGCGCCTTGATGATGGCGGCGCCGCGCTGCTGCACGTCCTTCATGAGCGAGCCGTGGAGCCAGTCCTCGTCGTTGTAGTACGCCGACAGCGGCTTGGCCTCGCCATCCTTCTTGATCGTCACGTACGACGCGTCCGGGACCTGCGTCGCCGAGTGGTTGCCCCAAATGATGCAGTTCTGCACCTGCGTCGAGGTGACCGTGTTGGCGCCGCACGCCTCGTTGATCTTGACCGTGAGGAGCGAGCGCATGCGCTCGTGGTCGAGGCGCATCAGAGCCGAAAAGTTCTTGGTCGGGATGCTCGGCGCGTGGCGCATGCACACGAGGCAGTTGGTGTTGGCCGGGTTGGCACCACGAGCACCTTGATGTCGCGGTCCGCGACCTTCTCGATGGCCTCGCCCTGGACCTTGAAGATGGCTGTGTTCTTGGCGATGAGGTCCTTGCGCTCCATGCCCGCCTTGCGCGGGAAACCGCCAAGGAGGATCGCAATGTTGGCGCCCTTGAACGCAACCTCGGCGTCCGTCGTGAGCGTAATATCTAGCGTCATCCGCATCATGAGATGCCATCTTCCTAGGAGCGAGCGTGCGTACCGTCGACGAGGTCGTACGCGCAGTCGAGGAGCTCCATCTTGACGCCCTCCATGACCTCGAGCGACTGGGGAATGTCGAGGAGGCGGAGGTTGATGCGCGTGTTGGCGCCGAGGACGTGGCCGCCGCAGAGCTGCGGGAGGAGCGAGTAGCCGACTTGGCCGGCGGCGCCGGAGACAACGACAGTGGTGGCAGGCATGGTGCAAACTTGGGAATGACTCAAAGTCTTCAACTTGCATCTTTCGACGAAAAAGGCGTTGCGTATCCGGATCCGGTATGGCGCCATTCGGATTGGCCAACGGCGGCGGTGGCGTCGGCGCATCACGCGGCGTTTGGTGCAAGCTCAACGTTGACGTATCGGGCCGCGCCAACTCTTTTGTGCGGATCTTCAAGCATACTCGACAGCTCCCGCCCCATGGTCGCTGTTCGCAGAGCACGTCGCCAGTTGCCGCGACGCCCATCGAGTGACGCCAGCGCGGTCGGCGCGTGACGCTGTTTCCCACGTGCTGGATTCTATGGCCGTGGCCAGCTGCTAAATCCACCCAACCACGAGCCCGTTCGTGATGGGATCGCCATCACGGCTGGTACGCGTTGCGATGCAAGAGGCGGCGCCATCGCGTGACGTCGATGCGCCGACAGCAGACGCGTCGGGGTCCATCTGCGGCGCCTCCGGCTCGTTGTAGATACACATAGCGATGTCTGTAGCGATTTACTACCCTGGTCTGCAGCAGCGACAGTAAATTCGTGCTTCTTTTCAAGAGGATTGGGTTCCGATCGAGGCGAGATTTGCGCCATACCGGTAGATAGATAGATTGAGACTCTCTTGACGCCTATACGCTGGCCTCTACGTATCTGGTGGCGAGCAATCACAGGGACATGGTAGCGGTAAGTTGCGTGCCTTTAGTGGACGGACGGCCGTGGTCGCGAATCTATGTGGTTTTTACATGTGCGATTTCAATTCGCACGTCACTCTTGGGTGGGTTTGCATCCACCTTGCACTTGGCCAAGTATCTTGCTCGTATCGCACATCATCTTGCCGCCACGCTTGACGCCATCGTCCTCGACGATGAGCGCCTTGTAAGAGGATCCAGAGAACGGACGGGGTCGTCTCCTAGGCGCTCTGGGCTGCGAGGTGCTCTCGATCGGACTTGTGCGAAGCTAGCGCCGTTTACATCGCGCACAATGCTTGCAGCCAAACGCGTGGCATAAACCATACACGCTCCCATCCTCTTGCCACGTCATTTGAGAATGTTGGTCTATCTTCGAATCCAGGGACAAGTCCCCGCAGTCAGCTCCTTCCGCAGTCACTTCCCTCTTCACTTTTCGGCGAGCAAAAATCTGGTCGGCGCCACGGGCCGAGCAACTTCCGATATCGAATACATCGAATGATCGAATTCCTAGTTGGTTCCCACGCCCCTCGCAACACGCTTAGTGTCTCTCGATGGATGCGTGTACATTGCAACGATGAGCGTTAGACGTGCTCCGTGCCGTGAGATGACAGCGCTCCTGACTCCGAAGTTTGGTCGCAAGCGATTTAAGTTCTTGGCACTCGGGAAGCGTGGGAGTGTACCGAAGTGGAAAGTGCGACGTCACATCGCGGCGATTCACGCTACACGCCAACGCGCTGCATTCGTTGCATCGAGAACTTTATGCATCGACGCAATCCAACTTGGAGTCGAACAAGTGGCCGCGCATCAGGCAGCGAGCGTGCCACGTCATACAATCGACACAGATCTGGATCACTTTTACAAGCCAACTTCACTGGCGGACCACAAGATCGTCCCGCCCAGTTTGCAGCGAGGGATCCTGAACATCCACCATCGTTGCCCAGTGATCGTTGCCTTGCTCTACTAGCCTTCTCGACCCCTTCTGTTCCCACAACCTTGCCAACGCTGGTTGCCGGTCGCCGACGTGAACTAGTTTCAGTGCCCTTAATCTCCAGCTTGTTCCCTTGGTTGAACGCGTCAAAGAATACAAAAAACCATCGTTTCGATTGCACATTTACAGCGAAAACTTGACGTCCATGCGCATGGCACGGCCCGCCGAGAGCTGCGGGATCTGCGAGTACTTGGAGAGCATGAAACCACGGAGCGCGCGGAGGAGCTCCTGGTACGTGATGTCCATCGAGTGCTCCTCGAAGGCCGCAATGAACGCGTACGACATGGCGCCGGTGGCCGTGCCGTCAATGACCGCGTCGGCCGACGTCTGCGTGTCCATGCAGCCCGAGAAGAGAACGACGTCGCCCGCGGTGGTCTTTTCCTTGATGGACTTTTCGGCGACGGGGCCAGACGTCGGCGGAGGCGGGGCCGAGAAGGAGCTGTACGCGTCCTGGAAGCCGCGCTTGGCGGCCTGCGTGTCGCCACGGAGAAAGTCCAGGCCGGCGCGGAGGAACTTCTTGGCCGCGACGAGGCGGTTGTCCTGCTCGTGGATTTGCAAGTTGCCGTCGATCGTGTACGTGAAGGGGAGGTCGAGCGCCGAGCCCGAGTGGCAGCAGTCGAAGATCGCCGTGAGCTTCACACCGGCGGGCAACGGCGCGCAGAGGATGCCGTGCATTTCGTCGTCCGTGATCATGCCTGCCGTCGCGTAGTCGACGGGGCAAATGGTCTCGTCCATGCCATCGGCCTCGTCACCGTCTATGGTGCAAAGTGAGAACGACCTCATCGAACAATCAGCGTACTCGAGTCGTCCTCCTGGGAGCCGTGGCCGCTGAAGTGGAAGAAGAGCGAGTCGCCGGCCTTGGCGCCCTGCACGAGCCAGCGCATGCCCGAGAGGATGTTGGCGCGCGTCGGGAGAGCGTAGCCGTTGCCGTCGTCCGTGAGCTTGCGCATCGTGTTGATGGGGAAGCCGCACTTCTCGTGGACAAAGCTCGAGAGGTTCTCGACGTCCTTCACGCAGCCTAGCGAAGTTCGCGTGAGCCGGTGTTGACGGCTTTGTTGTCGCCGTACCGCGGAGCTCGGCCTCGGTGTTGTAGTAGTTGATACCGATGAAGAGCGCCTTCTTCGTGCTCGACGAGTTGTGGTATTCCTGGTGGTGCTACTCCACGATTCCAATGAGACTACGCCTGAACAAGCCAGAGCTGCGTACCCAGGCGTCGGCCGGCGGCGCAGCCGTCGCGTTCACCTCCTTGGTGCTCTTGCCCATGTGCTGGTCGATGAGCTGGTTGCCATAGCGCTCGACCTTCTCGAGGTGCTCCGGGTTTCCTTGACCTGCTTGGTGAGGTTCGAGAGGCTCGAGAAGAACGACATGGTGGTGGCTGGTTGTTGACGGCGGATGCGGAAATGGCACTTTGCGGCTGAGGCGGCTTGGCAGAGGCCGCTGCGACATGTGCTGGAGCTCGCCACGGTTTGTCCCTATCAGTAATTGGGATATACTTGTATCCGGATGACGTGCAAAGAGTGCATTGTAAGAAGTGAGGTCGCTGGTTTGTCCCACAAATGGAATGTGGGTAAAACGGGACAATACAGCGTGCGACAAAAAAGTGAGCTGAATCCCACCGAAATTCAAGCGTGACCATCTTGGGCCGAGGACGAGAAGGAAACCTCTTCCTTGCCGAGTGCTCCAACAATTTCTCGGTTCTCACCACGGCTTCAACATGATAGAGAAAGCTCGTCTGACTACAAGAACTGCAGTGCATTGGCATCATCGCCACGCATGAGAAGGTCGTACAGTGTACTGTCCCGTGCTGGCATCATCCTGGATATCCATTCTTCAGTCCTTGGGCCAACTACGGCGTCAATACTTCACTAGTATACGGCGATTCGACAATAGCTAGCACCAAAACTGGACGAGTGTCCTTGAAGCATTCTACCAGCGGCACGTTGCAAGAAGAAACAAGTTGTCTGCAAGGTCCTTCCTTCGCACCTCGGTAATCTATCAATCTATCAGTATTCTACTCTCGACGCGACCGTTGCTTCCATACGGACAATAGGATCGTTTAGGCTAGCGCGAGCGCGGCGCGGCGACCCTCTGGCGTTTGCAGCAGCGCGTGTTCGTCGGCGAGTGCCGCCATCGCGTCTTGCATCTCCTTCATGTGGGCCACAAAGTCGGCGCGCACCTTGGCATAGTCTTCCTCCATGTGCTGAATCTGCATCGTCTGCGTTCGGTGGAGCTCGTTGAGCACGTTGATCTGCATGTCCATGCCGGCCATGCGCTGGCGCGTGAGGGCGTCCGGGCGCACGTCGTCGTGGGTCTTGTCCATGGTATTTTGACGGGACCGCGGCCCGACCGCGTCCGCGCTGTCGTCGGCCACGAACTGCTGCAGCCGCAGACTCAGGCGCTTGCGTTCCTTCTCTGCGATCTCGTACTTTTCTTGCAGTGGCTCCAGCGTCGTCAAGCGAAACTTCATGGCCAGATTTTCTACATTGGCGTTCGATCAAAACAGTAGTGTATCGAGTGATACCTTGCTTGAGCGTTTGCATGTGCTTCATGGACTCGACGGCCATTTCCGAGCGCACGGGACTCGCCGGAACGTGATGGGATGCTGTCGCTGCCGTCGGCGTTGTCGTCGGGGGCGGACGGCGCTCGAGTTCCTGAAGGCGCTTCTCCAGCGTGGCGACCTGTCGTAACTTGAGGAAGAGAGTTGGATGAAACGAACGCACCGTCGTAAGTGCCGACACGAGGTTCGTCTCGAGTTTTTGGAAGGCGTCGGTGGAGGGTGCGGAGGCGAGCGCGGCTTCAAGCGATTTGACCTTGGCGGCGAGATCGTTCTTCTCGGCAATGACTGCGTTCAGTCGACCGAGGCCTTGCTGCAGTTGCACTTGGGCTTGGAGTTGTTCGAGGTCTGCGCGCAACGTCGCGTTTTCATCTTGGAGCTGCTTGAGGCGCGCATTCAAGTCCAAGTCGCGCTCCAGTGCGAGGCCAAGCGGGTCGAGTTCTTTCGGATGCGCTGGCACTGCCACTGGGATCGGATCTAGCAGTGGCTCATCCGTCGTCGAGCCTGCTGGCTGCAGTGCGACGAGCAGAAATTCTGTCGTTTGCTGAAGACGCTGGTTGCGCTTCAAGATGTTGCGCAGCTCGTCGATAAGGACGTGGTTGCCGTCTTCCGCCAGCACGCACGGCGCGAAGGGCGGCGGGTCGTGGGCCAACGTCGTAAAACTCATGTCTTCGAGCACGATCGAGTCGTCGTTCTTTGGGGACCCGCCGCTCCACTCGACTTCAGGGTCAAAGTTGAAGTTGGAGTCGATCTCGCGGTGACTGGAGCTCAGCGAGTGCTTGCCAAACTCGCTCGCATCGTCGTCGTCGTCGTCCTCAAGCGAGTCATCTACATGAATACAGTCAGCTGAAATCGACAGCAAATCTCGCACTGCGAATCTCGTCGATCGTGGTCTCGGGTTCAAATACATAGGCGGCGCGGGTCAGCTCGTGGATCTTTTGGATGTGGTCATACGCAGGCTCGAGCGAGCCAGTAGTTGCGATGGCGTCTTGCACCAATTGGAGCTTGAGAATCTCGAACTCTTGAAGCAGCGTGAGGTTCCATGTCCGCAATTGAAGACCATGCTGCGTCTCGCCGTCTTCACGCACTTGGAGCTCGTCGAGCTCAAACTGTAGGCCATCCATTTTTTTCTCAGCGAGTGTCAGGGATGCCTGGAGCTTCTTGACCTTGCGCTGCTGGCCCTCGAGTTGCTACAAAGCCGTCAAGTCCAAGACTCCGGCAACGAGACACGCACCCGCGTGAGGCGGTCGATAGATGCGTGGCCATCGTCCGAGTACTCGCTAAACGTATCTTGAATTCCTCCGTGGTTCTAAGCATGCGTCAGCACTGCCGAAAACGATTCAAGGACGATGACGCCGTACCATCGTCGACGACGAGTCGGTTAGCGTGCTGGAGCGCACGAGCGATGGCGGCGCCTTGGAGTGGCGCAGAGGGCCATCCATGAAGGGGTCTCGCACGAGGCGCGTCGAGCCGCGAAGGTCGGCCGCGGTGGCCGTGTCGGCCCGGTGCTTCTTTGTGGGATTGTTGTTGCGGTCAACGATGTGACATTTGATGTTGAGCGAAAGGCGCGCCGAAGGGTCTTTGGACGACGGAAGCGCCGGCAGCGACAAGGTGAGCGATTTGTTCAAGTAGAGCGCAATGTCGAGTTCAAAATGGGCGACTTGGGTCTGCGACGGCAGCTAAGCGAGCAGGTATTGCTCGTTAACGACATCGATCGAAGGCTCCATTGCACATACTGAGGTAACGATGAAGTGGTACAACTTGGGCTCAAACGTGGTCGCGGACGACGTCGACGACCGGTCGGCGCGCGTGAGTGTCGACTGGAGCCCAACGACTTGTCGGAACTCGGCCATGTTGTTCTTCCAGATCGCAGGGTCCGAGTTGATGTGTTTGGCGTCGCGCTGGAACGTGATGCGGAGCTCCTTGTCTGTGAGCTGCACGTGGTGCGAGATGTGTACGTGCTCGAGCACAACTAGATGATTGATCATACGGCAAAGTGCAAACTGGGAAAGGCCATGGTATACCATCGAGCTGGAAGCGCGCGCGCATGGCCGCCATGCTGCCCCGTGCGAGGAGCGGGACCGGTGTCTCGGGCTCGGCCACGGACCGCGACGTGAACGAGTACATCTCGTGCTGGAGGTACATGCTGGGCGCGACAAAATGGCGTCGGCGCGTGGGGAAACACAGCGCCAGATGGTGGCGACAGGCGCCTGCGATTGGCTGCCGCTATTAATAGGGTGCACTTTTCCAGTACTGTCTCCGTCGCGGGACAAGATCGCATGGCGTGGCGTGACCGTAGAGTCCGTAAAGTCGCCTCCCTCGCTCGCAGTTGTATCTAGCCGCTTCTAGCAGATGCAATAGTGCGCCAAGTTGAAGGTGCCAATTGCATGTCAACGTGAACACGGTACGCCATTGAACGGAACAAACATGCGATTTTCAGCCTTTCTACAAGCGAAAATCTGTCTCCTGATTTCCGCCGCGTGTGTTCACGGCGCTGAAAGCTAGCACTGAATTCGGCACGGCATGACGTGCGATTCAGCCGACTGATGGCGATTCGTGTTGAATACTTGTGACTACGGGAGCGTGCGGTTTCGAGCCACTCAGTCTGGATGTCAAACTGACCTTCGTGAAGCTACACGCCTGTAGAGTACCGTAGCAGCTACACGGGAGATGGCGATATATTTCACTACAGTAGACATCAATGGCTGACAGGCACAGATAGAGATTTCCTCGCGTTGTGGCGTCCACGCTCTACGTGTTCAGGGCAAAACAATGAGACGTTTGCGAGAAATGGCGAATTTAAGAAGACACTTGCGATAAGTTTCAAACGGTACAAACCCTGCTACTCACCACGCGCACTTACTGCAACTTGCACGCTTGGCTTTTTACGGTACAGCACACGGTCGGCGCAGGGATGGCCACTTGCTCCTCGCGGCACGCGTGTCGGCCTAGATCTTGCCCGCCGTAAGTATACTGCGCCAAGTTGGTGGTGCAGCGCGGATGTCAAGTGTAAGTCACGGAGGCAGGGTTCGAAAACCCAGTATCCAGCACCGCTTCCAGAACACACACGCTCGTCGCCATCGTAGCGACACAGGCGCGCTGGCTGACGTGGCACACACAGTCTCGATCCGTCACAATACGAAAAGGTCGCGACCACCACGATCCGCTTCCTTCTCGACCACCACACGGGTATCGGCGCGTTCCTGCAGCCGCGCTTTGGTCTTTTGCACGCATGTTATTGTCACCCTCATGGGGTTTTGTTCATCTTAGTAGTAGCTCACGCCAGATTGAATCATCGCCGAGGCGTACTTGGTTTCTTCGCAGCTTTTTTTCGGAATCGTCTTGACCACGGTGCCTTTGAGCCAGCTACGTGCATGGAATTAGAGCCGAGTGCATTTGGCAGCCATCGCACCCGAAAGTCTGCGCGTCCGTCAGCGGTTCGTGGTGCTTCTCTTTTGGCGCTCTCTTCATGCGCGTGTGCTTGAACTTGTCGGCGCGTAGCGCAAGCCCGCTTTGGTATTCGCACGCATGCGCGTCCATCTCGCTGTTGTTATTAGCCGCGTCTTCGGATGCCTCCAGGAGCGCCTCCATTCCTAGGTGGCGCGTGAGTTGGCAACGACTGATGGCGCAGTCTACCTGCGAGGAACTGCGCTCGCGGCAGGGTGCCGTCGGGGAACCACGCGGTGACTTGGTCAACAATCGTCGCTGGCGGATTCGTGCCTCTGGGGCAATGGTACAAGGCGTGCACAAACGCAGGAAAGGTCGAGGTGCTGATCGTCGGGCCACGCTGGGCTGCCACGTCATAGGCCGCTGCCACGTCCGTTGCGTTAAACGCGTGCAGCGGCAGGAGCCCCTCGAAGGGCCCTTGCGGACCAAGGTACGTAAGCCCAAAGAACGACATGCCGTTTTAACAACTAGGCCGCGTTCGTGAGGTACTATCTTTAGCCCAACGTTCGCGTCGAACCCTACCCCTCGAAAGAGTCCCCACCAAATGGCTCTGAGCTCGCTGCAGCGCACTGTTGACAAGCACAACCAAGGGAATCATTACACATTATTCTCTTGAGTACAACGGTCTCTGCGCTATCATCTAGTGTGTGGATACGTAGCCCGGGTACAAATTTGGATGTATGAATACAATGTGTTGTAGCGAAAAACACGCTCCAGCCCCGAGGCCAAAAAACCACAGCCACACGACTGGAACACCCATCAACCAGCGCAGAATACCAATCAAAGAGGTCAATACAAACTGCAGTCAAAAACGATCGTATTAGACGTCGCTGGAACCGGTTGCACCGATCCCATGGCCGGCTCAAGTTGGGTGCATCTAGTCAAACGAGCCGGTTAATCCGACGGTTGAGAACGCAAAGATCGCAGAATTTCGAATCTGATGGCAACGCTGCGGCTGGCTGCAACTGAGCTCGCGGACGCCTCCGCGGCCGCCTTCGCCGCCAAGGGCCTCGACGTCATCCGTCTCCGGTAAGCTGCTCGATGCGGAGGGCGAGACGGTGATGGCTGCATGTAGCCCCGGCGGCGATCCGTGGCGCATTGAGCGGTCGGCATTGGACCCGCTCCTCACCGACTCGCTGGAGCAGGACGCGCTCAACAAGATGGAAGACAGCAAGCACACCTCTATTTACTACCGCGGCAATACGCTGCAGGTCCGCACCTGCTTGGTGCATGGCGTCCGCGTCAACAATGTCGCCCTCGGTACGCACTGCAACATGTCTCGAGCGTCATCGATCGCGCCTAGCGTCGCGAACGGCGCATGCGCTGCACAATGGCGACCGCGTCGTGATTCTCGCCTCGCCCCTTGGTGGTGATATTGTCGTGTACGCTGCGTCTGGCGGTATCTCGCCATTCTGACGCGACCGCCTAGGTACCACGTTGAGATCGCGGACGTCGGCGACGCGACGCCGCAGACCGCTCTCTACGCTGCGACGGCGCTGGATTTCAGTGACGCAGACTCGGACGTTGAAGTGCGTCACGTGCGAGAGGTGTTGTCGGACACCTCGTCCCGAGGGGCCAAGCGCCAGCGACGCGCACCGCCGTCCTCATCCACCAAGACCCGCTCTGGATCGCTGTATCAGCTGCGCCTCGTCAGCGACGCACTGACACCAGCGTCAGCCGCGGCCATGAAGCAGCGTCGCCTCGACGTCTTGCGTCTCGGGTACGACTGTAGTGCGCTGCGCATCGTACGCATGGTCCTCGTAGGCCCGACCATCGTACCTATTCGTTTGGCCGGTCGCTC